AAGTAACTAGTTTCATGAGGGTTTGTGTGAGAGAGGTAGACAGTTGACAGGAGGAGACAGAGAAAGGCAAGCATTTTCACTTTTGGGATAGCAGTTCTGAGAGTGTAAGGTGTTTAGTGTTCTACAGGTCAGTACAAAAAAGGGGGTTTGTTGGGGTTTTTTTTGTTGTGATGTCTTCAAGTTATATGCAGAGAAGTATTTGAGCCTTCAAATGTATGCATACCTTTTAAGTGTTCCCTACTCTTGAGTGGGAATACATGGTAAGTAAATGTTTACCAATTTAAAAATACCTATAATCATGTTTCTGTGATCCCAACACACAGAGTAAAATTATTATTATAGCCCTCAAATTTGAAAATATTAACTTGGTTCTATGGAAATTGCTTTTTACGTGTTCTTCTTCCTTTTTTCAGGTCTTTATTAATCAGTGGCTGAGATTCGAGTTTGTAGTTTTGTAGCACAAAACCCAGCCTAGACTGAATTGGGCTGTTTTTAGATCTGTCATTAATTTTTTTATAAATCTAGGAATGTAATGACAGGGTTCATTTATAAGTTGGTAGACGTTACAGTTTTTGATTTTACTTTTTCCCTTTGCAAGCACGAAGCCCACGCCAGTTTTCCATTTGACAAAGGTAGTTTAGAACTTTTTACAGAATACCCAGGTACATTTTCTGAGATGGGTGTTACACTGAGGCAGGATAACACTCACAACAATTTCCAGGTAGGATGCTGAAAGTTCCAGGGATTTACAACCAGAGTCCTTGGTGTTTTGCTCCTGGGTGTGCCTGAAGCAGTGCAGCCGTGAGTGAAAGTCGCAGCTCTCTGACAGCTGCAGAATGACCCGGGTGAGGTGAGTCAGGGACATCAAACCGAGTCTGCACCAATATCCTCGTTGCAGCTGGTGCTACTTGGCACCCCTGATGGAGTCTCAGCAGAGAATCCAAGCACCAGGTTGGTCTCCTTGTTTGATGTGCAGTGGCAAGAGTTAGCTGAAAAACTTTTTTTTCAGTTCTCTCGAAGAAACCATTAATTCTGGTTGAGTAGAAGGTAATTTTCGCTGTTGACATGTTGTCATCACGACTTTCTATGTATTCATACATAGAATTTGTAAGTGGAGCAACAGTGAAAGATCAAGAGCAAGTATTATTATATAAACATAAAAAATTCTTAAGCACCATCAAAGCATAATCACACATTTCTGTGAAATTACTGGAATGATTGATGTCACGTCAGTCTCTGTGACAATGGAGAAAAATTAGATGAGAGAGAAGATTTTGTTTGTTTTGTAGAAGCTATGTTCAGCTTTAATTTTTTCCTGTGTTTGTCCCTCTCAACTTAGTAAAATAAAAAATAAATATTTTTATAAAGGGATGTAAAAACCAGAGATTAACTGAAATCTGTAGAGCCTGAAATACTTTAGGAGACTTTGAACTCTTTGTCATTCTGCTCTTTCATATAGTTGAGAAGTGTGGATGGAGTGCTGTCTAGCAGAATTACTGTGCTATGTGTCATAGTAAAATATAATAAAATACTGTCATAGTAAAATATAATAAAATACTGAACGAAGGGCCCTGAACCCAACATTCTGTTTGTTTTCCAACTGTGTTATTTTCCAAGGATTCTGCAAGCTTTTGAAGTTGCTGTGCAAGAAAATGTATTAAGGCCCCAACAACGTATGTAGCAGCTGAAATAACTTTTTATTCTTCATAAAATGGGCTGTATTGTCCATGTTCCCAGTGTTCTTTTAAAACCTTAGATAATGTTTTCTTGTAGAATGTCAAGATTAATAAAGAGGGAGTGAGCATGTTGAATATATTGAGAAGTTAGAGATTGCTTGTCTGTAGCAGCTGGGAATTTATCAAACAATTACCATGCTATTACCCCATACAGACACACCCCAAATGAGAGCTAACATGACAGGAATTTTCTGCTTTTTTACATTCTCAGACCATAATCTCTGAAATTGTCTTAGATTTCTGCATCGGTATCTTCAAGTCATTAAATATTAAACCCTGCAAATTTTGTTTCTCCATTTATAAGAGAGAAGCTAAAAGCTCTTCGCAGTTGTTTTACGTTTCTAAAATATTCTGAATATGTAAAGTGCTGTTCAAGTACTAAGTTTAAATATTTTCTCCTGAGCGAGACAATTGGGTTTAGTTAGATTGTAACCTTCAAAGATTGCCTAAAATGATTACAGTGCTCTCTATAACAGATTTTCACCCTCGGTAAGTGTGGTCATAGAACATAAATCTTCTTTTGCCCAAAGAAAACATTGGAAAAAGAAGGTGGAATGAATTCTGCATACCTGGGTAGAGCAGAAGGCATGTGACTCTAGGAAATAAATATTTTTTTTTCAACGTAGTTTATTATTTAACAGTTTATCATTTATTATTTATTTGAGGTTATTCTGGAAAGCGAATTTACAGATGATGTAAATAAAAACCTGAAGGCAAAAGGAAGCTGAGGCTAAAGTAGGAATTTTTAGAGAAAATCATGTGTGTAAGAGGCAGTTTTTATTTGGACATAGGCATAAAGAGTGGTAGGATAGAAAAGAGTTTTATTATGTTGTAATATGTGTTCTGAATGCTTGGTAAAATATTTTACTTTAAATAAATGTGTCATGCTTATAATCTAATAGATTAGTCCTTGTCATCATTATCATCATTGTTACCATCCTGTCTAAAAAAGAGTTGGTATTTGTATTTCCTTTCATAAGGTAATAAATCTTTCATAGTTGTGTACTTGGTTTGATTAATTGAAGTGTATGAGATAGCCAAGATGCTTAAAATTGTGTCTTCTGTTCCACAGAGAAACAGGAATTCAGAGAACTGGCCTGACCATTGCGATATAGTCATTATAAACTCATAAAACCCATCTGGTTTTAGTAAGGAATTATATTCACCAAGATGCCTATATGCACTATTGGTACACACAAGGCAGTGTATAACAAAACACCTTATGTACAGAAGCTATAATTTCACACAGCTGAAAGTATGACATCAAAACGTCAGCCTAATTATCTTTCAATCTCCAAAACATTTGCAAACTCCAAAATATTTTCCAGCTGAAGCATCTCTCTAATCTACCAAAGAGTAAATTTCAACTTACTTCAAATATTCTTCTTTTTTAATTAGGTTTTTCTAATCACAAAGGTTTGGCAGGCCACAGATCAAAAGCTGTTCCAAACATCTTAGTTATCTACATACTTGTGACCGTTTTAAAGAAATGTAATAAAACGTCTCGCAATAAATAAATATTTTTCAGAATAATTTTTCAGATATATTGGTAACACAGTAGAGCACTAGTTCAGAGCTGCTGACATGGATTACTGTCCACTGGGCAACCAGACAATGGCAATTTACCTTTTTTCCTAGGTCTCGTTTATTTTCATGTCCCACATATGGAATTTTAAAGTTCATTCATTTGCATGAGCCATAAAGTTAGAAACACTGCCCAGCTGGAAAAAGTGCTACAGATTTTCAAGAAGATTCCTCTCATTATATTGAGGGGAAATACAATCTCAAAACTATAACTATGTAGCTTAAATTGGTTTAAATATGTTAAGTGGATCATTGTGCTTTTCAGGAACTGTCAGTTCTTATTAAGCTGAGTAGATGTATTCAGTTATGTGCTGGACAGTAATCAATTCAAAATTGTGTGTGTGATCATGATATCCCTCATGGAATTTGTTCGTTCACACTGTTTCCTGGGTTTTGTGCTGCGTTCAATAGTTCTGCTCTAACGAGGAGAACATTGTGGGGCTGAACGTTCTTCCATATGGTTGGGCTTATAATGTCTTCTTTTTAAAGGAGCTATTTCTCTTCACTGGAAGCAGTGGCTTCTTGGTAGAGACAGAAATATGTTGTATTTTGCAGGTACTGCTTAAAAATGCAGCAACACGTTGGCTAATCTTTTCAAATCTGTAAAATCCATTGAGATTTTGAGAGACAGATAAAATACGTAATTGTAAGTCACCTTATATGTAAGCAAAAATCAAAAATCCAGGTTTAGACACTCAAGAAGTCATTGGACACCTCAGAGATCATAGAATCACAGAATATCCTGAGTTGGAAGGGACCCACAAAGATCATCAAAGTCCAACTCCTGACCCTGCACAGAACAGCCCCAGGTGTCACCCCATGTGCCTGAGAGCACTGTCCAAATGCTTCTTGAGCCCTGTCAGCCTTGGTGCTGTGACCACTTCCCTGGGGAGCCTGTTCCCAGTGCCCAACCACCCTCAGTGCAGTTGGACACTGGAACGTGTGGGGAAGCAGATTTGTCATCTTCTCCCTTGCCATGCCACTTTTCTGTCTCGTTATGGGAATATTAAGCAAGAACCATTTTAAATCTAAGAAAGAACACTAAGCACAAAAGGGCATGTAAAACTACTCTCCCTAGTGATTAGGTGCCTGAATGCAAACTACACTGAAGTGTTTTTCCCTGCTTATGATCCAGTGCACCTCATTTGCCCATTCATTTTTAAAATGGCAAATACCACTAAGAAGGTGTTTGTCCCATGGCAGGAACTTGGGATGTTTTCCCTGGTAGGTACATATTAACCACAAGGTTGTGCTGTTCTGTTCCATCTTATCTGCTTCTCTAGGTCCAATATCTGTTCCTCCTTTTTTTGCACTTTGTCCTCACTTGACTGAGGGCCTTGCTTAGCAGGGCAGGTACCTTGGTGGTCAGGGCATTCCTGCTGAAAGGTGTCCTTTGAGTTCCTGCATACTGAAAAGATTAAATTTTAGTCAGATTTCCATTTTTTTTGAGATCAAGCAGGAGGGGAGTAAAGAGTTAAAGAAGCTCAAGTAGTCACTGAGGGGTGGTTTGGACCAGTTTTCAATGTTGGCATATGAAAAGTACATGAACTATTACTTTGAGAATAGCCCTATTGCTTCTGAGGCAGGTTGAGTGCTATTACCTAATTCCTGCTATGTAAGGGGGAGAGACTGTGTTGTTATAATTAAACTTGAAGCTATTTATTTGTTACTTTCTTACAGGAAACAGATTCAACCTCTTCTAGGACAGTTTAGCCAGTCAGAGGCTTTGTTACTCTCGTCTGGGGTTGAGCCAGGGACTCTGGATGGAGTTCTCCTGGATGCTGGCTGTTCTTCCATGCAATTTGATACACCTGAAAGAGGTTTTTCCCTGCAGAAGGATGGACCTTTGGACATGAGGATGGATAGTGACAGGTACCTGATAATATTTCTTTTGAAACTCAAAAACTGTCTACTCAGCAATCCCTGTGCATTTCATTTCCCTTTAAACTGAAGAATTCTCATCATCAAACCACATCCAATTTTGCACGAGTATACTTTTTTTCTTTTCCCAAAAAGCTTTCTTCCGTCTCAGTGCTCAGCCCTGGTTATCATCTTTGCCTCCTTTTAAATAAGAGGAAAGTTCCCGTGATGAGTAATCAAACCAGTAACATTGTTGTGTACCTCTACCATTGAATTTTAACATTTTTGGAGTGTATGATATACAGTCACAGGGACTTCTCCCTTTCAGAGGCCTCTTATTTCCACAGTTTCCCAGCCTGTACTTGATCTGCAGGCTCACAACTTCTTACTGCAGTCCCTTTCCTTTTCTGCCACGCTTACTGTTTGTGGAAACTTCACTGGAGCAGTTTCAGTTGCTTCCTCAGGAAAGGGGCAGTGTCCTTCCTTTGTGCAATGACTGTCTTACCCAGTTGCTTCTCTCTAAAAGGAATGCAATCTAAAATAAATAAATAAACAAACCCCTATCTATTATATCTGCCATTTTAAATCAGATTGCTGCATTGCTTTTAGCACGCTAGTATAATGTTGTTTTCCCTGCCCATAGATTTATTGTAAGCTTCCCTTAGCAAAATCATAAGCTTCCTTGCACATTGTGTGGGAGGCACATCAGGTTTACTTAATTGTCAAATTAACGATTACTGAATAAACCACCTGTGTTTAAACTATTTGGATTGGTATTAAGTACTTTCAAGAGCATGAAAATCAGTGGTGGAATGATAATTTCTACTTATGCAGTGGTTATCGTTTTCAAACAAGCTGATGTATTTCTGAAGCATTTTGCTTTTTACATGAGCAACCAAAGATCTCTCTCTTGTATAGATGCTGGCTGTTATTGCATGATGCAATACTGGGAGAATGACAGGTTTTTTTTCTTGGTGTTTTAATGGACCTGGAGTCTTAAGAAGTGCCGTTTGCTTTTTTCATTACTCACAGGGAGCCAATGGGAAGCCCCAATTTCTAAGGAATTGGCTTACCACATTAATGTTATGTCTTAACGCAGCAAATTTCACGATACTTGCTTTTTCTGGTTTTGTGCAAAATGCTCCCGTGATCCTCCTGGGATTCAGTCCTCAGATTTCAAGAATCTGAACTCCAGGCTTAAATATAAGCCTGATGCATCATGAGAAAACATACATTGAACAGGAGCATAAGAACAAAGGGTACCTGAGGCATAACAAAAGCCTTACACTATGGTTGTTGCTATGATACTACTTGCCTCTAAGTTTTGTTATCTTTTGTAAGATACTGCAGGGGAGTAAAAAATGCCTGAAAAATTTTCTGCTAAATCATGTCTTTTTAGAAGAGAATTTATTAAGTGGTTTGTATGTTTCATCTGATTAGTAAACCCATAGATGATGTTCATAAAATACCTTGGAACTATTTCAATAGCAAAGTTAAAGAGATTTCGATATATAGATGTGAAGATTATACTGTTTAAACTGCAATAATTCCTGCAATTTGTATAGGTCATTTCTATTATATCAGAACAGTATGTGGATATAAATTCTTATGCCTTTTAGCGAAAAGTAAGATTTAATTATTTTCATTAGCAATTGTTTTCATAGCAGGAGATGTGAAAGAAAAGGTCCTTGAAATCAGTTCTAACTAGAAAACAACATACGATGCAAGGTGACTAAAATGAACCCGTAAGAGGCCAGTTTATGTTCTAAAGCTGGCTGATGAAAAAGGTCACGCAGCATTTCCATCTTAGCACGATACTGAAATATTCTTGTCACCTTATTAAACATAGTTCATGATAATACTTAGAAGTTAAAGCCGTTCTAATTGAAGTTAAGGAACAAACTCCATTCGGAGCGGCAAGAAAAAAAGGGTTTAAAAGGTGCAAGCTGTTTTCCCAGGGTTGCCACCTCCTATTCGAAAACCTCAAAGGCACTTGTGTGCCGCGTGTGTGTGTTTGACTTTGTGTCCCAACGCTGTGAAGCTTCACCCCTTGTCAATGAAAGCTGACGTCAGTGGACTAATTGGCCGCTCTCGTGCGTAGGTACCCTGACATGCCCACTGCCGCCGATGTTGTGAACGCTTTGGATCAACAGGCGCTTGCGTCCATCCTCAGAGCGTACGGGGAGGAGAGGCACGCCAAGAAAATCGCCTCAGCCATCGTTCAGGCACGCAGCATATACCCCATCACCAGAACCCAGCAGCTTGCAAGCATTGTTGCAGGTACCCTCATTAATTCTTCGCAGCGGCCGAGGAGAGGGAAAAAAAAAAAAAATTAATCCCCGAGTCCCAGAGGGATCTATTTGTACTTGAAATCATGCAGGATCTAATCCTGCCTGTTCTGCTCTGATGTCAGCTCTCTTTTTCTCTTTTTCTTTTTTTTTATTAGCTCCCATTTTTTGTATTGTGGTTTGACAATTAGTTTAATAATAGATTTTACATGAAGTGATTTATCATTTTGCCAACGAAGTTGAACCACAGAATGACAGCAGCCTAGGGTATTCTTTATCCTGGCTGTTGACAAACCTTCAAATATGTCATACCTCATTTAGCTTTAAATTTCTGCATTTTAATATTTTGAGGGGAGGTACCAAAGCAGTTTCCAATTATGAGTGAAATCAAGTGATTTCTGTCTTTTTAAAGGATCAGAAGCACAAAGCATGGCTTGCTTCACCTTGTGCATGTCAACTAAATCAGCCTGAAGCGACTATTGAAACACTCCATCTTACTTGCTCCTCACTGTAAACAACTTGAACAAAATGCAGTTAGGCAGGAACAGTGCTGGCATCAAGAACCTTCACGTTTGTGTTGTCAAGTGAAAATTTTCAAGGAAAAATGTAAGACACAAATCCTGCTCATTAACACTCTAATGCATAATGTCAGGATGTTTGTTTCTTTTTAACCAATTAATGAAAATCACTGGATCTCATCACAAATATGTCTAAACTGCTGACTTTGAATATAGACCTTTAAAATGATAATCCAAACTTAACATTCGCTTAAGAACAGTGTAAAATATTATATAAGTATCCTGAAGAATCCTAAAAAATTTATTGTATTCTTAAAAATTAGGGTTACTTAAACTGGAAGTTTAAGGCACTTACTTTTAATGACCAACAAATTAAAAGGTTTGGATTTGTAGAAGTCAGGACACTTTAACAAAATGTCCAGTCAACTGAGTCCCAAAGTTTGGCTGATATGATAAAAGGACCTGAAGACAGTGCTTGCTGTTGGAAGCCCCTACTGTAAATACAGTAAATATGAGGAGCGAATAACTTAAAAAAAATCAAAGAGATAAAACACTATGAGTCTTTTATAAAGCTTACGTTTTTAACATCATCATTATCAACCTCACAAAATAATAATTTCAGGCTTTATCATGTGTCTCTTATGCTTTTTGAAAAACTGTTGATTAAGACAGCGTACCACTTGAGATTGAAGCAACCACATCGCTGTGTTAAAGATGTCATGTGTTATACATTGTAAACAAGCAACTCAGTAACTTCTGAAACTAGTGTATAAAAGACAGTGATTAAAGATCCCTTCATGTTCAATGTGGTGCATGTGAGTCATCACTTAATGGTCACTTTCTGTGACAATGAGAAGGACTTTTTTGTTCTCATTTTAAATTCTCTGCTATATCTGAAGAGCTTCCTGATACATTAGTCATGTATGCTTCAGGTAGGGTACATGCCAGAAACAGTGAATCCAGCACACATCTGCCAAGACAATAAATATATATGTTTTGTCTGCTTTTTTTGGAGTATGCAAGTCATTATAGTAATTTTAGGGTTGTTACACTGGTCCCTGTTTGCATAGAACTTCTTCCGAATTTAGTTTGATTCATCCAGCAAAGGAGAACAATGGTGATTGTATCTGGTTTTGAACTGATTATACCTTAACAAAATTTTTGATAACTGTAATGTATTTTGATTAATTTTATCTATCATCCATATATATGCTTATGTGAAATTATTGACATAAACAAGAGCTGAAGTGCCAGAGACCACAGCTGCAGGAACCTCTCAGTGGCACAGCCCAAAAAAACCCTGACTAATTCAGGACTTAACCAGAATAAAATTTATGACCTATTAGTTAAATGTCACGTCCTTTAAAAAACAAGATATTAATTAGAATAATAAAATCTTGCATTTTAGATTTTGCAGATTCTATGCAAGCCTGATCGTCTTCCAGAACAGGGTCATTACTTTTGCCTATATAGGAATCAGAAAACAAGCAAAAAATCTATCCAGTGAAGCTGGCTATTTGTGTCTTTTTCTCTGGTGGTGTCAGAATCTGATATTTATGTATTGTGCATATTTCTTTCACATGTGGCTTCAGATTTTCTAGAGCTCCCCAGTTTTTGTCTTAAGGTCCAGCCAATAACCAGAATCACAGTGAATCTAGATTTGGACTAACCCGAAATTGGAAAATTTAATTTCTTCTTATAGAATGCTAGACTTCTGGTCTTTCCTACCACCCCCTAAAAGGTTAGAACATGTATTGCTGTTGCTAATTGATTGGGAGATAAAAGTGGAGGATGTAGTTAAAAAAATCCACAAAACAGCCATACAAACCAGCTGCACAACACTCACAGAGCAATCTGAAGTTTATATTAGCAAGAGTTCTACTTGTAAGGTATCGCTGTGAAAAATATATACATAGATTTGTATGTCAAGATTGACTACAACAGTTTGGGGCTAACTCAGGTATCCAAGTGATTTCTTGCTCTCCTTTGTTCCAATTCAAGAAAGTAATTCTTTCTATATCTTGTCATAGCACCTGAAAATTCTCTCTCTGTCTACATCCTATGCCAGTGCATAAGGTCCTGAAAAAGAAAAATTAAAATTTGGCTTTTTTTTTTTTTACTTTTTCCAAATGTTCTCCAGAAGGCTTCTGATCCATTTAAATAAGATCTCTGCGAGCTGTGGAGTCTGCAGTTTACATGTGAGAAAGGAGGAGTTTTCTGTTCACTCACGTGAACAGCATCTCTTCTGCAGCACAGTGGAGCTCCACTGGCTGTTTATAATTTCCACAAAGCTCTCTGCAATGCTGAACGCTCTGGAAATACTAAAGAGCAGCAGTTCTCCACTGAAGGGCAGCGACTCGATGTGTGGAAGTTGATTATGAAGGGCTTGCTGAGGTCTTTTGTTGTACCTCATTGAGTTATTTGAAAACAATAGGTTTAACTCCGTGTGCAGAAAAACTTTAAAAATAATAAAATTTTTCAAATCTAATTTTGATATGCTTTTCCTGTACAACTGATGATCTATTTTGATTTCTTTTCAGTGAGCAATGTACTTTGTTATCTATTAACTTTTGTCCAAAAATTAATTTTTCTGAGCATTATTTAGATACCTAATTCATTAACAGATCATTTTGAGATCATGTCATCATTTGACCTTAGCTTGAAAGGAATTCATGATGAGATACTAAGGAAATTTATGAAGTTTAAAAAGAACTTTAATGTTTAAAGTCAGTCTCATTCAGACTGGTTCACATTTATAGACTTTAATTATCAGTTTGGAATTTGTAATATTGCCTGAATTTCAGATGGGTGAGAATTAACACTGTACTGAGGGAGCCCAGACAAAAGGACATTAGTTGCGTCACAGAAACTTATTAAATGCAATGCTAATTCAACAGACGAATTCCTGCAAACAGGTGCACGGTCTGAATTAATTTTTAAACTCTCCCACTCTCATACACTCTGGGGACTTTAATAGTCCATATTGACAGGCACAGCATGTTGCTAATTTCATTCACAAGCTTTTAAAATTTCAATACATTTCAACATGTGAATCTGTTAGATTTTTAAAAGTGTAAGTATCATCAAGGCATCCTAAAACAAAAAATGATAATTTCTCTCACTGGGATTTCAAGCCAGTCATCTAGCCAGAAGCGTGATGTTTTTATGAATGAAATTCATTTTACAAACTTCCCATACAGATTTTTTTTTTTGAACGTTTTTGTACATTGTACAGCCAGTTACCAGGAAGGATTTTCTTTTAGTGTCTTGGTAATTGGAGAGGGCTAGGTGAGAGATATTATGCCTTAGCAGAAAGCATAAATAGCTTTTTATTTGACAACACCAGAGGAGTAAGAGTGATAGGAAAATTTTTCACCCATGGATCATAGATCAAAATCCACTGCCTTTACTAAAATAATAAAGGCCAGAGTGACAGAAATAACTACCACAGATTACATTTATTAGTTAATCCCAGTCTCTGACCACAGACGAATAAGTCTTTGAACTTGTTTGATTTTTAGTTTAGAGGATTTTCTTGCATAAAGCTGCAAAAAGTGACTGCATTTCTTTACAAATTTCCTGAATATTGGTATTCTGTACTGTTAAATATGACCTGCAGTGCTCTTTGTGCATGTCCAACTGAGGCATGTAAGGTTGTATGATACTTACTGAATATACCTGGGTTTTAATTTATTTTTTTTCAGTTTGTGATAAATTAACTCGCAGTAATAGATTAATGTCTCAGGTAATTGTCATAGAAGATTATTGCAGGAAGACAGTGCACTCAACAGCCATGGCAGGATAAGTGGAAGAACTTCCCAAAGACCTGTTAGTGTCCTAGTCGTGCTGGTAGCCTCTGTTCTTTTGTTTAACTATGCAATGTTTCAATTGCAAAATAATGGTGTTTGTGATCAGACTGATGGAAATCTGCCCAGATATCAGCATGCTGTGTCCATTTATGTTTTTACAAAACCCTTTGAAGCAGATCATAGAATCATGGAATGCTTTGGGTTGGAAGGGACCTTAAAGGTCATCAAGTTTCAACCCCCATGCTGTGTGCAGGGACACCTTTCACTACATCGGGTTGCTTAAAGCCCCATCCAGCCTGGCCTTAACATTTCCAGGAGTAGGGCTTCCACAGCTTCTCTGGGCAACCTGTTCCAGTGCGTCACCATGCTCTCAGTGAAGAATTTCTTTTGATATGTAATCTAAACCTACTCTCTTTCAATTTGAAGCCACTCCCCCTTGTCCTGTCACTGCATGCCCTTGTAAAAAGTTCCTCTCCAGCTCTCATGTAACCCCCTTTAGGTACTGGAAAGCTGCTGGAAGGTCACCCTGGAGCCTTCTCCAGGTTGAACAACCCCAACTCTTTCTATCTGTCTTCATAGGATGCTCAGCCCTCTGAGCATCTTCATGGCCTCCTCTGGACGTGCTCCAGCAGGCCCCTGTCTGCAGAGCTGGATGCAGTGCTCCAGGTGGGATCTCACCAGAGCAGAGTAGAGGGGGAGAATTCCCTCCCTCCACCTGCTGCCCACAGTGCTTTGGATGCAGCCCAGGGCACATTTGACTTTTTGGGCTGCGAGTGCACGTTGCCAGGTCATGTCAAGCATCTCATCCACCAACATGTCCAAGTCTTTCTCCTCAGGACTGCTCTCAATCCATTTGCTGCCCAGCCTTAGTTTGTGCTTGGGTTGGCTCCAACCCAAGGGCAGGGCCTTGCTCTTGGCCTTGTTGAACTTCATGAGGCTCTCACGGGCCCATCTCAAGCTTGTCAAGGTCCACCCAGGTGTCATTCCTTCACTCCAGCATGTCAACCCCTGCACACAGCTCAGTGGTGTTGTCAGACTTGCTGAGGCTACACTCAATGCCACTGTCCATGTGACCACAGATGTTAAAGTGCCAGTCCCTGCACTGACCCCCTGAGGGATGCCTCTTATCACCAGTCTCCACTGGGATACAGAGACATCGGCTGCAACTGTTCTCGGTGCGACCATCCAGCCAATTTCATGTGCACCAAGTGGTCTGTCCATCAAATCTGTCTCTCCAGTTTAGAGACAAGGATGTCATAGATCTTCGTATCATTCTTGTTTTTTTCAGATGAGTAAAAGATGCTTTACTGACATAGGAGGTAAAACTCTGAGTATTTTACTAAAATTCCTGAGAGATTGGCTGTGGAGATTTAAACAGAGGATCTCATTCCAGGTTTCTGTTTTTATGGTTGGGTCCCAATCAAGAAGCAGTGTCAGTTTTGTACCTAAATTACATGCTGTACTCTTGTGGATTAGCTCCATTTTTATCTGTGATACTTTTGGAAGCTAAAATACTCTTAGAATATCAGAAATGGATCATCCCCAGAAAACCAGCAGTATTTTTAGAAAATACTTAGACTGCTAAAATATGGTGGTTAAAAATTCTGGGTCTGCTTTGAGAGGTGAACACCAACTCTGGGTAGTAAGAGTCCAAAATTGAATGTATAAAACCGATGCTCTTTGAGTCACAGCTGTAAATTGTTCGGGAAGGGGCAGGATCAATACAGGTAGAATCAAAAAACACACCTTGTTTTCTAACCCACTAGCTTGGTAGTAGCCAATATTTTGTAAAGGTAGCAATACTTTTTCGTTGCAGTTAAAACTGTTTTTGGAGACTGAACATGACAGGAGTGGTCTTTTAAACCTTGTTGTTTCATTTAATAGTTGTTCAGAGAGTTCTGAGTGTACTACTGGTGTTTGTAGCTGACCCTTTAAAGAAAGTTGTGTTTATTTTGCTTAGCACAGCATTCCTTTATGTTATGCATTAAGAGACAGTTTTCGTAACACACACAACTGGCAGTCAACGGATGTTTTAAGGGTTCCATTTTCAAAGAATCTATTTATAGGCTTGTAAAGAAATACAAAAACAGATACTGTGAGTGTTCGTGCAAGCTTGGTGTCAGTGCGTTTCTTGGGACACCTTACTTTCTGTGATTTTGAGTCCTCTTTTGAGTTCAGCTCTCTTGTCAAAATGGGCTTTGTGACTCCTACAAGAAGAGTATGTATTCATTTTTATGATTTATAGTAAATATAGAAGGTTATGTTCTCAAAGACAGAAATTACATTAACTAGCTAGTGCAACTTTTCCAGAGTTTGTAAATGATGGAGAAGCCTATCTCCGACAGGTAACATCTATTTACTCTGTTTTGTGAAACAGTTTAAAGCCACAAATTCCCATGCAGTAGTTTGTTGGGAGAAGTTGATCCTGTTGCCACTTTCTATCTCAAAGGATTCAGACTATAAGAATAGGAAGCAGCCACAGCTACAATGGATCTCTTCAGTGAATTTAGGAGCTGTTAGTGTTGAAGTCAGAGGGGGTTGGTAATGTAGTTGGGAAAATCAAGTATGCAGAAACATATCTTAGATACATTGCCAGCATGATAACAACTTTGTTAATGATCGAACTTTTAAATCCCATTATTGTCCTGTCCCTTTGCTGAACACTGAGATCACTTGTGTGTTTGTGATACCAGGCGCTTATGCTTTCTGACATCAGTAAAACCTTGCCTTTAAAACTCTCAGGAATTCCACTAATAAACTATTTTGTGCCAACAGATTGGATTATGATGTCTCTATTAATTTTTTTCAATCACCTGTGTAAATGTGAATTTAGACAGCTAGTTGCAGAGGTACAATGTTCCCTTCTTTTACTCCACCATGTAGAATATCAATTACTTGATTATGAACTGCATTTACTTGCTTCACTATGTCAGCTTAGCATTGACATGAAATTTAATACATATATACCAGCTGTATTGCCTTGTCTTTAATGGGCCCTCTTGTTTGGAAAAATAATTCTTTCCGTTATGTATCAGCATTATTCATTCAATTTATCTTTACCAGACTCCTGTGCTTACTTACATAATAGATTATAAATTCACTCAGCTTTTGCAGATCTTGTAAAATTCTTGCACTTTAGTCTCTCTGATCCATCAAATCAGGTTTCTCTAGGTTTTTGCTCTGTACTCATGTAATGAAAGTTCAAGCCTAAAATATATTAAACATTGATATATTAAAGTTTCTATCAAAATTTCAGTATCTACAGAGACTTGGTTAACTCCTAAGAATTTTGGGAAAAGGAAGACGGAGTTTTGTGCATCTAATAAAAAAATATTTAATCTGGTGATTTTTCATCTGACAAATCCATACCTTGACACATTCTGCATGTGAAAATGCAACAGTGTCAGCAACATTTGCTAAAGTTCTCAAGGTATTTTTGTGAACATTTGAAGAAACACAAGAGTAGTGGTCAACAATTATTATTCCCAAGCAGGGATACCTCTTTTAAACTTTAAGTAATTCATTAAAAGATAGTTATTACCAGGTAGACATTGTCTTCACTTATCTCTGCCTGTGAAGAAATGCATGCTTATCTAGAAGGCAACAGTTAAAATTGTGTCCATTGTATATTAATTTTTTTTCCTTAAAAGCATAACACAACCACAAATACTGAACTGACATTGATTACACTGAGCTGTAAGGTGAGACTTATCTAGCCCGTCTTCTTTTTTCCCTTATCTTGATTTCAGCCATCATTTTGTATTTTAAAGTTGTGATGCATTTGGAGAAGCAATTTCTATAAAAGATTCTAGGGAAAAAACCCCAACACTTAGCCATAAGCCAGCATGTTTTAATAGGGTTTACATTCAGGGATGTGAATTCTAAGTAGAAAACAGTAATGTATATTACAAACAAGGGAGCTCACTAGTCAGAGTTTTTAAGTATGCTTTTCTTTAAAGTCATCATGCATGAGTGGATAAGTGCATAGATGTCCAGATGTAGAAATAATAAGGTACTAACATCTACCTTTTAAAATTCGTGGCAGGTGCTTTTCCAGCATCAGCGCTGTACGCACGGAAGGATTTGCTTCAGAGACCCGTGCACGTTGCTACCAAAACTTTCCGAGGCCTGCGAATATTTGTCAATGATGAGCTCCACGAACTCTTTATAGGACTGAAGACAGCTGAGAAGTTTCTAAAACCTGGAGGTCGCCTCGTAGCCCTCTCCTTTCATTCGCTGGAAGATCGTATTATCAAACGTTTTCTTCGTGGGATAGACATGACAGAAAAGTACAATCTTAGCTCAAGGCAGAAGATAAGGCAGGCTCTGAAAAATCCCTCCAAAAAAGAAGACACACAAGAATCTCCCCATGGAAAATCCAACTCCAAGTGGATTTTTATACAGAAAAAAGTTCTCACACCCCAGGCCAACGATGTTCAAACAAACCCAAGAGGAAGGTCGGCCAAGCTAAGAGCTGCTATTAAAGTCTAAACCAAAATATATGATTAGATAATTGTATAATTTCCTTTAATTTTTTTTTTCTAGAAGGCTAACTGTACAGGTAGTATCAAACTGAAAAAATAAAATGAAGGCTGTTAGAAAACATTTCTTTCTTACCTTTGTGTTCTTTTTAATTAGAATGTAGTATAGAGCAGAACAAATGTGTATCAGTGGGTGTCACTAATCATAAAAAAATAAACATCTTTTTTTAAAAGAGCATCAAATGTAAAGGTTGTAAAAATTGCAGGTTTGATGTATTTGTAGTACTCCCTTTAGATTACATTCAAAACCCCGACATTAACTGTCTAAATTCAGTAGCTAATTGAGACAGACACATTTTTAATGGGGGTGGATTTCACACACCTAATTCAGATGTCTGGTCCAGTCTAGAGTAAGTTTAAAGCGAGCTAAGAATTCACGATATATATGTCTCTGTATTCCAACTGACTTGTTGCATGAATGCCTATGGGAAAAGGGCTAGTTCTGAAATAAAGGGACATCAGGATGTCGTGTTCTATCCAGGAGTTTGTAAATGGGCTTTTCTGAGAGATCACCTGGTTGTTTAATGATTAAGAATTCTAAATAATGAATATGTCTTGATGGAAGAAAAGATACTTAGAAGACCACTTGTTGGCACTTGGACACTCAGTCAAGCAGTCGAATTTGTACTTGATCATCTGAATTTTCTCCTGTAACCATAAATTCTGTGCATAGATCCAGTACAACTTTTAGGTGCTGATAGAATTATAATTAACTTTTCAAAAAAAGGGGGGTATTGTGGTCTTATGAAGTATTCTTCTTTGCTGTTGATCATTTTTTAAGAGGTTCTACTGAGGTAAGTATTGAATTATTTTAGATAAGGCCCACTCCAGCTTTCAGCTTGGGTGCTACACTAGGTAGTAGAACATGTAACATAATTTCTTTTTTATTAAGTTAATATGAATTACATTTAGCTTTTATATTTTCTTATAAGACCATTGGTTTGCTTGTTTTATATGCTAAAAAAATAAATGGAAAATTGTATAAGTTGCAAATTCTTTGACCTCTGACTTCTTCAGGAAAAAGTCTTAATTTGAATAATCAAATTGGTACCAGGATTTTATTTGTGGTGAGTCTGCAACTTGGTTGGTAGAATAAAAAAGTGCAATTTCTGACTCAGCTAAATGACTACTACACACCAGCTTCTGAAAGATAACTGGCTGGATCATTTTGGACTTGATTTTCATCAAACATCCTCTTTATATCGGTGTAAATTATTACTTTACGGGAGTTTTTTGGGTCATATTGACACAAACAAGTTGAATTTAAGTTCACTGTCTGTAATATACAATATATTGAAATTGCTGGATATTGTTTAATTCCTTGGTAAAGCTAAGTCCTATAATGTATTCTTAGCTGATAACATCTATCACTAATCTGAAATAGAAGTCAAATGATGATAGGCATTTCATACTCTTCTGAAATCTCAATATTTTCCCACTAGTTTCATTATACATGCTATTAAATATTAAATAAAACATTCCACTTCAAATAATATTACTTACTGTTGTCATCTTTGAGACAACAGCCTGTACCCTAAATAGACATTTTTTCATCCAAACATTAAATATAAATAGCTAATGTTATTTTTAGCTGAGATTTCATACTGAGAGGTATTTAAATTGTAGATTTGAAAAATTGTGCCTCCAACACAGGCTTAGAAGAGTTGTAGTGCCATGCTGTGCGTTGTTCAGGAACACGCCTCAGGAAAAGACCATCCAGTTGTAGCAGAAGTTGAGTATTAGTATCTCAGACATTATATTGAAAGTATTAAAATTCCTTACGCTTAAAACAGTGTTTAAAACCCACACTTCTCACATCTAAATTCAAAAGCACAGTTGCTTATGGTAGTTGAACTGCTGTATTACCAGGTTGTGTAGACGCACTCCCTCAGTTCGGGAGTTTGCCTTTAGCTTGGAGTTGCACAGCCATGGCAGCGTATCCTTTGTTGAGCTTTCCTCTTTGGAGAGTCTGTTGCTCTCCTCTCAGCTCCTCCTCACCTTCAGCTTTAAACCTGAGGTATGGAAAGGATGGAATTTTAACCTCTGCTTGCCTGAGAAAAAAAAAATTATCATTTCCCGGAAAAACCTCTGGTTGTACTTGGTCAAAGTATTCTTTTCTCTTTAAACATTTCATTTCATTTAATAAAAAAAGAGGGACTTTTTACAGAGACATGCAGTGATAGGACAAAAGGGAACGGTTTTAAACTAAAAGAACAGAGATTTAAATTAGATGTTAGGAATTCTTTACTCAGAGGCACTGGAACAGGTTGCCCAGAGAAGCTGTGGATGCCCCATCCTTGGAAGTGTTCAAGGCCAGGTTGGATGGGAGTTGGAGCAACCCGGTCTAGTGGAAGGTATCCCTGCCCATGGGAAGGAGTTTGGGAATTATTCCAACCCAAATCCTTCCATGATTCTATGATTTAGTAAGTGACATGTTATGTGAAGGGTATTAGGTCTTTATCTTCTTACCAGGACACATGTCTACGTAGTGCATCTTAAATTTTCCCAATGTGGTATATGTGACATGTTACTAAAACTAAACATTTTCTTTTCCATAATAAAAAACTATATTTATGAAAGAGATGGTATCTGGTGGAAAATTAACCCAATCATGCTGTCAAGGTACAGGTTGTGTGTAATTTCTGAAAACTGCCATTCAACCTGAGCAATGCACGTTTTAATACAACCAAATGCAAGATTATGTGTCAAGAAAGAAAAAAAAAAAAGATTGTAGACCATGTTTGCAGGGAATATGGCAATAATATGGTGCTGTACACAATGGGATGAGTAGAAACATCCAATATGTGAAATAATTGTAGAGAATGTCAAGTGGTAATTATGGTGAGACAGTGGTGTTGCCAAACAATATGTGCATGAGGGCATGTTGCTAAAGAGTGTATCTTTTCATGTTACTAGTTTAGAAGGGTGTGGGAAAATTTTAAGAAGGATAAAAACCAGCGACAGGACTATTTGTATGCATTTTAAGCATACTTTCTATTGAAATTACTAGACAGTGGGATTTAATGAGTTAATCCATGTGAAGTAGAAAGTTGATATGCTGTCAGAAGTACCTGCCTGGTAAAGAGATTTGCATGGAATAATTACTTGAAAAGTAGGCACACTTATCCTGTGAATAAAGTATTTATGGTAAAAATACAGTACTTTTTTAAAACATAATTTTACGGTTTAGGCACAATTATCTGCATTTATAGCCCACAAGGACCTACCAACAAGTATTACTTCCCTATTGCTTCCTCAAGAAAAATAATCAGTTTCATTGTTTCAGAGTGCAAGTAATATAAGGAATTAATATCTCTTCAGTTTTTGGTTTGGGTTTTTTGTGTTGTTGTTTTTTTTTTTAACTTTTGCAGTTGAGTATTTTCTCAGTAGTCTTTTACAGCCACAGCTGCCGGGATTGCCGCTTGACTTGAAAGAAATCCCAGCCTGAAACATCAGTCTTTGTAAAGACGTGTGGAGGTTTTGATGGATGGAAGTTGGAAGGAGGGGATTCCTAACGTGGCACAAACGGGGAAAATGCTGACTTCAGGGAACAGCAGGAGCAAGTGGCTCTTCTAGTAGCAAGTGTTGTGTCAGATGTTTTGCATTCTGCTTTCGAGAGTAGCATTTCTATGATGATAAATGATTCATATAATTGCTCTAATGTCATTTTTTTGTACTGGAGAAGGCACGGTTTTAATTGGATAGTTTATGCTCCTAAAGAGTGTAACAGCACAGTGAGAGGAGCTCTGCCCTGGGGAAAGGTGATGTGCAGGGGTGGGATGATTTCAATAAGCAGCCCTAGACGCAGATTGTTGATGATTGGATTAAATTTTAAAATAACTTAGTTGTTTTAAATAATCGGTTGTGACTCACTGTTTTGAGTATCACTGTACAAAAGTACTGGTGAAAAATGAGACAAATGTGAATAAACAGAGAAGTAATGAACTCATAAGTTAATTTGTTGCTGCCCATCTTACTTAACCTCTAGCAAGACCAGGGAAGGGGTTCAGGCCCGATTTTCTTATGCCTCAAAATTTCTCCAGAAAGAGCCCTTCAATAGATTTAGAACCATTTATACCAGGATTAAAAACAACATTCAACAGAGTATGTGAGTCAGTCTTTATATCCATAGATTTATTTTTTCATAAAGCACTTGCTTAAAACTAATATGGAAGTTATAAAAATATGAGATTATATTTATAAGTCTTTCAGAAATATAATCAAATGGGGAGGCCTTTTTACACTGGAGTTATACTGGAATTAAAGCAGGATTTTGAGGATTAATTAAGAGTGCAGTGCTACAGTGAATCTTTCAAACAATTTAAATGAATGTAGAGCAACTTCTTTTACCTTCTTACCTTCCCCAGCCTCTGCAGAAGATGGAAGAAAAACTTATGTTTAATTAAAAGGCAAGAAATAAGCGGTAAAGTTGAACAGTTTAGAAAGAAATGTAATTTATGAGGTTGACATCCAATTTTTTAAAAATTCATATATGCAGTGTTCTATTACTTTTTCCATTCATTGTTTAATTTTGCCTGTTTGGGGATAAGCAGTAGCTGTGAGAGAGCTCAGTCTGTGTACTGGGTGGAGAACGTGGTTTCTAGTGCACAGTCAGAGGTAACAGTGGGAAGGTATATATGCTTCTAAGTCCAGCTCTGTATATTTTTCCCTCTGTCTCCTTTGCAGTTAGAATTGTATTTATCTTTCTGAATCCTCTGTAACCTTATCCTGGGTGAAGGAAAGGGAAGAGCTTTTCCTTTTTGGAAAAGTCTAATACCTGTCCTTAGAACTTTATTAAAATTAATGCTGTTTAATACTTCTCTACTTGACATATTTCACTGATGACGTGTCGTGTTTTTCAGTATTGCCATTACATCCCTAAGACAGGAAAACAGGCGAATATTTGCTCATGGGAAATGAGCAAAAGCTAAAAAAACAGAGCAAGTGGTCAGTTAACCTGAATCTCTTACTGTACCAACGTAGCTGTATTTCTAAAAACTAAAACTTTTTCATTGTACCTTGATCTTTAGGCAAATCATATTCTCCCTGTTGCTTTTGCAAGCCTAATTTGATTGATTGTAATGGTGAAAAAACAAGCTGGAGGGTTTTTAAAATTTATTTGTATGGTTGCAAATTTAAAACCTGACAGCTTGTTTATAGGTGTCTTTTTTTAAAGAGGAAAACTGGAGATACAGCTCCCTCTGTCTGTCCTGGGAGTACCTCTGCTCTGGTCTCTGGAGTGCACCTGCAAATGATCATAGGAACAGCAGGTTTATTGTCAACACGAAGACACAAGATAAAAACATGGGAATAATTTGTTTTACAGGTCAGTAGTTGTTTTAAATTGGGCTAACTGGGATTTTAAAAGAACAAAGGACAAATCATGCTCTTGTCTGAAAATATTTCAATGAAGATACCTAATTCAAAAGACAGAGAAACAAACTTGCTCAGTGCGTTTCTCAAA